GTGGGAGATGTTACAACACTTTACGCATGCGCAGTGTGAGATGTCTGTCAGAGACTTTACGCATGCGCAGTGTAAGATTTTGTCTGAAAAAGATGGCTGTTCGGGGATGCCTGAAGCTGCCCAAGGCTGCCCTAACCTCTAGGGGATTACATGAAGGCTGCCCAAGGCTGCCCTAACCTCGAGGGGATTAAATGAAGGCTGTCCGAGGCTGCCTTAATCTCTAGAGAACAACAACAGCATTTATTTAAACACGATAAAAAATTCAGCAAAAGCTGATGTGGTCGTGTACGGACAATAAAACTAAATTTCTAACTAAATCCAATAAAACTAAATTCCTAACTAATTATAAGAAGACTAATGTAAGATTTCTACATATTTTCAACAATAAAAATTCTACATAGTACATCATTATAACATACGTGGCTTAAAAATACACTTGAGTGACTTTTTAAAAGCGTCAACGTCTTGAATTGATCTCATTTGATTTTCCAGAGCGTTCCACCGAGTAATTGACTTGTATGAGCATGATTTCTTGACCATATCGGTCTTAGGTCTAGAACTAGGTCTAGGTCTTAGAACTAAAAAGAATTCACAAGATGTGATGTGTGTCAGAGTGACCGTGTTGGATGCACATGTCTAAAAGGGGCAAGAAGACACGACGCCGTCGCGTGTTAAAAGTGCGTCGCCTTAAGCGCAAGATTCGTCAGCAAGCATCGAAACATGCACAAGATGTGGAAAGGTATCAGAAAGAAATTCAGGAGTTGAAATTACGGGAGAGACATCATGACATTATATTCCACGATGCCATGCGATACATTTACCACCCCTATGGAAATGAACGATGTATTTACTATACTAACTGGGATAAAGAAATAGCAGACGGCTTTTTTTCTGCATTTCATGAGTTAGATTATAGATAAGACAACCCACATGTAAAATCTAATGCAAAGTTTATTATTATACAAATGAAGTACGATAAAAATGAAAAATGTTATCACTGTTTCTGTTGGGAATGGTAGCTAACCATGTACAATTCTCTAGATGTGGTGGTACCTCTTGAAAGGGTACAAAATTGAAACAGATAATGTTCATGACATTATAAACGTAATTAACATTCATAAAAAAGTCAAATTGGTTTAAAAGGACCAAAATTTCATCCTCGGGATCTTGATTATCTAAAAAGGTCCATAGCGTAAATAAAAAGTTGTAGTAATCCATAAAGGGATACTCATTCTGAAAAAGTTGAAAAAAATCTAGCGTTACAAAAAGGATGATTGAGGAATACAATCAAGAAAAAAATGTATGACATTATGAGTAGCTCTGTGGTAATTGGTAGTTAACCATATATAATCCTCTAATATAGGTGGCGCTACATCTTCATCATACTCGACGAAACCAAAACTTATTAAGGGTATAATATTATAAATATGGGTGACAATCATAAAAAACCTAAACTGATTAAAAAGGATACAAATTTCATCTTGGATATCATGCCACCATAATAATGAGTTTAATGTTTCAAAAAAATCCACAATGTCTTCCAATGGAAATTCAGTCTAAAAATAAATTGTATAAAAATTAATTTAATGGTTCAATTTAAGAAAGGGAAACACCATATAAATGTATTGGAAAAACTGGCCAAAAAAGTAAGTTCGAAGGTGGTAGCTATAAAACAGAAAATAAACCAACTTGCATGAATAAATTACTATGACAGTACACTCGGTCTAAGCGTCTTGTTTCCAAGATACCTGCATGTATTCCTAATCTATGTCTAATGATCGTGTTTTCTAAGACAACATCAAAAAGAAATTGATAAAAAAAAGTGCGAGGAGATAGATGATGGGCTTCAAAAAAACTCGTTTGAAATTCCCTACAAAAAGATACTTTAATTACATAATATTCCATTCTACGTCTTCCAATGAGTAAAGCTTGACAAAGACTTAAGACCGAATTTTGAAAATAACCTCTATCTGTCACATAGAGTGCACATAAAGTAGACATGTAATCATGGGAACCGATCTGAAACACAAAAAAGGTCCCTAATTAAAAAAAATAAATATAAAAAAACACACGCACACATTCTAAAATCCCAATGTTAATCAGATTGTTGTCTTCGAATAAACTTTTCTCCAAAAATTACCTAACACGTTCACGAAACATACAATGCGAGTAACGAGGTATGACACGAGTTGAAACGAATGATCGAATGATCGAAATACACCAATCACAGATGGCGTCGTTTTAGAATTCACCAATCACCACGCGGGAAATCCAACCGATCAAATAACACCAAATTTCTTTGATGACCTTGAGTATACCGACGGATCGAAAGGCACCAATCACAGATAGCGTCGTTTTAGAATTCACCAATCACCATGCGGGAAAACAGACCAATCAAATGACACAAAATTTAGTATATAAGTCGCGCACTCTTATCTTAAAAGTTGCAGAAGTTTAGTGAGAAGAATCCTATAGACAGACTGAAGACTTGCAGAAGGAAAGTGACAAGAATCCTAAAGACTGAGTGAAGATGGCGCAACAAGAGAACAAAACGTTGGAGGTCAGTATGATAGTGTTAAAACAAGACTGTCGCGGCAGGCAAGCAGCATTTTTAATACGTTACAAATGTTTTACGTTTTTAGGACCCTACCGCCTATATCTGTCCCGAGTGCCGAGACGACATGCTCGACTATGAGAACATTCTCGAAGCGCTAACCAAGCAAAAAATACATCGAACTCAAGTTTTTTTCCAGCTCTTAAAACTGGTTAAAAAAGAAAACTTAAAAACCGCGACGGAATTGGTGAAGGAGTACATGAAAAACCCTGAGGATTTTTAACCGTGTAAAAGTACAAACTCTTGTAAATAAAATGCGAGTGAAACTTATATTTGTGTCATGTCTTGTTAGTTGTAGATTTATTTGATGATGGCAAAAAGAAAGAATGATGATGTGGAGGAAGAGCATAGTATCTCAGATGACCTATTAAATCAACATTATGATGAACTTGAAAAACAACAGTATGGTGGGGAAATATCTGACGATCAACTCAATGAATTGTATGATCAATTGGACCAACAACAATTGGATGCCCTCAATATAGACTTTGGTGTGGAACAATCAGGTAGCGCTCTCTTTAACTTTGAATTTCAAAATGCTGGATTCCCAAAAAATTGGAAAAAGACAGCGGATAAACAAAGATACGAGGCCACCCTCAAGCAGACATGAACTCCATCCCAAGACGATAATATCGGAAAAGAAATTACAAATGCGTTAGCGAGGTAAGAGTTTAAAAAGTATGTTGAAAAAAAGTTTCAGGGGATAAACTCTTATCGAAATTTATCTTGGGTTATTTTTTTTAGATCGATACGGAAACAAATTCAGCAAAAGAAATGTTCATCTCATGACGCGTTCCATTTCACCTTACAATCGAATCAATTCGCCCACGCCCAACAATCAGCCAAATTCAAAGTAGAAGAAATCATGAAGAATTCAGAACGCTTTGAAAATTACATGACTACTATGGCTAATAAATTGAATTCAGGAGAATCGTTTAAATCCTCTTCTAAGTTTACCGCCGACCTTACCTTTATTCGAATGCCTAAAGGTGGTAAAAGTGGTAGACAAAAAGCTCTATTGGGAAAGCGATCCATGGCAGAAGTTTTGAAAAAGAAACATTCCGTGATTCAAATTACAAATTCAAACGAAATGTGTTGTGCAAGAGCCATTTGTGTCGCAAAAGCATGGATCCATAAAGATGAGGGGAATCGACAGAAAATTGTTTACGAGAATGCAAAAAAATGTGACACTGTTCGATCACGAATGGCCCATCAACTCCATGAAGATGCGGGCGTACCTTTGGGGGCATGCGGGCACCAAGAATTGAAAAAATTTCAAGACTTCCTAGCACCAGACTACCAATTGAAAGTCATGGCAACTTCCTACCCCTACATGATGGTATTTGTAGGCCCAGAAGCACCGCATATTATCCGCCTCTTGCTCCAGAAACACGATGACTCTGAGACTGGTCACTATGACACTTGCACATCTTACGCTGGTTTTCTAGAACGATCCTATTTTTGCGATCAGTGCAACAAGGGATTTGATCATAATGACTTCAGACATCATCCATGTGAGGGTCGAAGATGTCATGCATGCAAACAAGTAGAATGTGGCGCAAAACCTGATTATGCCTTGCGTGAAGTACCCTGTTCTTCTTGTTGCCGAAAGTTTTACAGTCAGACTTGTTATGACATGCATAAAGAGAAAAAGATCTGCGACAGCCTTGTTCAATGCCCTATATGTCGTAAGGAGTTTCAAACCTCAGCGTCAAAAGAACCTCACCAATGCTACTTTGACAAATGCTCCGTATGCCATGAATATGTAAAACTTACAGAACACAAATGCTTTATTCAACCTGTGGCAACCAAAGAAGATCAAAGAAAGAAAAAAACCAAAGCAACCCTGAAACGCCATAGAAAAAAAAATCCCTTGGCCTCGGTGTATGAAGAACCTCCCATCTTCGTCTATGCTGATTTTGAATCTATGATAGCGGAAGATAACACACACATCCCCGTATTGGTCTGCGCCCTCACCTCTGAAGATGATACCTTCGAAACCTACTACGGGGAGAATTGCACGGCCGACTTTCTGAACTTTCTCACCCAGCTCACCGAGGACGAATATGGCGACCCACGCGAGGTGATATGCATTTTCCATAATTTAAAGGGGTACGATTCTATGTTTCTACAGCATCAGTTGGTAAAGGAAGAAAGAAAGATCGAGGACATCATCGCCATAGGCACTAAATGGTTATCCTTCAAAGTGGGTCAAATCACATTCAAAGATTCGTTCAGCTTCCTCCCAATGTCACTCTCAGCCTTTACCAGTACCTTTGGTCTCACGTAACTCAAGAAAGGTTTCTTTCCTCACCTGTTCCACACACCTGACCATCAAGATTATGTGGGAGCCCTGCCAGCAGCCTCCTGTTACGACCCAGAAAGTATGTCCAATTCTAAAAATAAAGAATTTCAAGTCTGGTATGAAGAGCAAGTGAAAAAGCAACACCCATTTGATCTCAAGCAAGAACTCATAGCCTACTGCCAATCAGATGTCGCCCTTCTTAAAGCCGGCTGTCTTAAATTTGTGAATGAATTCCAGTCCACGTCTGGGTTTGATCCGATGGAAAAATGTGCCACGATTGCGTCAGCATGCAACAGATATTGGCGTAAAAAACATCTTTCCAAGGATACTGTGGCCGTTGAACCTGTAAGAGGATGGCGTGGGGCACAAGTCAATCAATCAGAAGTTGCACTAGAATGGTTGATGTGGCAGGAACATCAGCTTGAATCAGACAGCCCACGTATCCAACATGTTCGTAATGGTGGGGAGAAGTTGATACCCGCAGGGCCCGAGGCATACCATGTCGATGGTTTTGATAGCCACACAAACACTGTGTATGAATTTCATGGCTGTTTGTTTCACGGGTGCAGACGTTGTCATAAAGACCGCAAGAAAATGGCGTTTTCATCAGGCAGCTACACGATGGAAGCCTTGTGTCAGCAGACGGAAGACAAATGTAAGACACTCCGACAGATGGGGTATAAAGTGGTTCAAATCTGGGAATGTCAATGGAAGGAGCAGAAAAAGGCCTCAAAGGAAATTCAAGATTTTCTCAAGGAAATCAATCTTGTACCACAGCTTAATCCGAGAGATGCGTTCTTTGGAGGTCGAACTGGGGCGGCGTCGCTTTATTACAAGGCCAACACAGATGAAGGCGAGCAAATCAGATACGTCGACGTCACCTCAGAATATCCCTATGTAAAAAAATATGGCACCTACCCCATAGGTCACCCCGAAATATTTTTGGAACCAGACGACCAAGATCCAGCCTCCTACTTCGGTATATTGACAGTGGACATTTTACCGCCTTATAATTTATACAATCCCTTATTGCCTCTTCGACATGGAAAAAAACTGACGTTTCCATTATGTCGAAAATGCGTGGAAAATGAAAGTGCCAAACCGATGTTGGGAAGAAATTATTATTGTAGTCATGGTGTGGAGGATCGCATGCTCACCGGTACTTGGTGTACACCCGAAATCATGAAAGCTGTCGAAAAAGGGTATCAGGTTCTTCGCATACACGAAGCATGGCATTTCCCACCAGACCAAAGAAAACAAGGTCTGTTTGCCCCGTACGTAGACACCTGGTTGAAGATAAAACAAGAAAGTAGTGGTTACCCCAGCTGGGCACAAACGGACGCGCAAAAAGAAGATTATGTTAAAAATTACAAGGCAAGAGAAGGGATAGACTTAGACCCCCAGCACATCAAGAAAAATCCAGGAAGAAAGGCCACTGCCAAACTGATGCTGAACTCCTTTTGGGGAAAGTTTGGCGAACAAATGAACAAGATGAAAACGAAGCAAATCACAGAACCACACGAGCTGATTGATCATTTAAATAACACAACGATTGAAATATCAGACGTACGCATTTTGAGTGCTGATGTGATTGAATTGGCGTATAAGAAGATAGAAGAGGATGCAGTAAAGGGGTCCAAGACCAACATATTCATAGCAGCATTTACCACCTGTCAGGCCCGTCTTAAGCTTTATGAATCTTTGGAGGCGTTGGGCGATCGAGTCTTGTATTATGATACAGACTCGGTCATTTACACGTGGAAGCCAGGTCAAACAGAAATTCCCTTAGGTGATTACCTTGGCGATATGACCAATGGATTGGATGAAGGGGATTACATCGTGGAATTTGTGTCAGGGGGTGCCAAGAACTATGGGTATGCGACGAAACATGGGAAAATCGTGTGTAAAGTTCGTGGCTTTTCCCTAAACGTGCGTGGTGCCAAACAGCTTAATTATCAGGTCATGAGGCAAAATATTTTGGATGAAATTTTAGACCCGCAGGACGAAAGAAGAGACACTGACATTGTGAACCCGAGACATTTTAAGCGTGATCCAATTGCCAAGAAGATTAAGACAGAAACACAAGTCAAAAAATATGGTTTGGTATTCGACAAGCGGGTACTTCACGTAGGAACATTTAAATCGTATCCCTACGGATATGCCCAGTTTACAGGATTCGATGCACAAGACATTTTAAACATTGAAACACTTATATGAGAGACATTCAAGCCAAGATACGTTAGCGTTTTTTTCCCTTTTTATTATTTTTAAATAAAACAGTTTAAATTGTTACAATTTAAATCACGTGTCTTTGTCATCCTTACAAGCGTTTCATTCCCTCTGTGATATTATCCATCCATTTTCTATGAAAGGCTGTTCTTTGATCTACCCTGCGAATCATTTCTTGTAGTTCCTTTTCAATATTGTCTTGCCACTCGTGACGTGAAGGACATTTGCAAGTAAGTGGATGGAATGGACATTTTCCTCCTCTGTCCTTTTCCTGGGCGGCGGCATCCATACGTTAACGTACGCGTCTAAAATGAAGTGTGACGATAGAAGCGCCGTCTGTAAACTGAGCCAAATTATTTTTTTCCGACTCACTTATCTGTGTTTCCACCACATCGATGTGATTCTTACGTAACTTGATGTAATGAATCTGCTTGGGTTCGTAATAATAATTTCCTTCCAAGATTGGTTGGTAGTGTATTTGACGTATAAGATCAGTCGTCTGATCTCCCACGCGTACTGGAGCACAAAGCGAGGAATACATATACAAGGTTCGTGGGTAAGGTAAA